CCCAGCCGGTGCGGGCCCTGTCCCCGCCCCGAGGGCCCAGCGGGCGTTCTGCTTCAGCAGCAAGTGCCCCCGATCTTCATGACTCACCGCTTCCCAGCTGCGCGGTTCACTAACTTCCGCCTTATCTCTGAGTCAGCAAAACGTACAGAGCACCTTACGGCAAAGCCTAGGAAACGAGACAGCGCCCAAGTCCCGGGGCCAGCCGGTGGCTCAGAGTCCACTGAGAACAGCAAACACGCACACAAGGAGCTTCGACTCGATCCCTAACGTGTCTCCTCACGGGCTACACAGACGGAGGGTCAGAACATCACCGCCGGCCGGTCAGGGTTCGATTCCTGCTCAGGGCACAGGCCCGGGTTGCAGGCCCGATCCCCAGTGTGGGGCGTGCAGGAGGCTGCTGCTGCCTGGTCCACCCTTCCCATGTCATGTTCATGTGCTTTATTAATTCCCTCTCCTTCTCATTCATTCTCATTCTCTCTCTCTCTCTCTCTCTCTCTCTCTCTCTCATTCAGATAACATCCCCCCCCCCCTCTCTCTCTCTCTCCTCTCTCATTACTGAAAGTCTCACTTGGCCGTGCTCCTGTTTCCCAGTCCGCCATGTACAGTGGGACAGGTGAGCCATTCCTCGCGCTGCAGGACAGACGTCCCCAAAGATGTCACTGCCGACGCTGCCACCCGACTTACGGAAACCTCAGCCAACACAACTGCCACACCCGGGAAAGGGCGCCCCGGTCAGCCCTGTGCGGCCTCCTGCCAGGGAGGAGCTTCAGAGGCGAGGACTCCACGCGGCCTTTCTCCCAAACCTTCCCCTGAGAACACCCCCCCCTGCACAAGGCCTGGTGCGTGTCCCAAGAACCAACCCCTGTCATGGCGGGGGGCGGGGGGGGACGAAGCTGCCCGGAGGGAGGGAGGGAGGCGCCAGGCGGACAGCTCAGCTACTTCAGGCCTGAGTTGGCCGGTCCTGGGAGCGGGCTGTCGCTGGGTTTCCCTGGGGGGGCCTCTGGCAGGAACCGGGGAGGGGTGCCCTTTCGGACAGAGGACGGGTGAAAGGAGCCCTTTCCTGTGCACCTTCTCCCTCGTCATTCTGCACCTGGGCACCCAGTACCTCCCTCAGGAGTGATGCGCGCTGTGTTCAAGTTTCTGAACCAGCCACTGAGCGCCAGGATCTAACATGGTAACTACCTCCCGTTTCTGAGTCCGCGCTGCCGGCTCCGTCCCCCGAGGCCACGGCAGGCCCGCTGGGTCCTGAAGGAGAGGAGACTTTCACACGGGAGCAGCCCACGGCCACAGAGAAACAGCTCTTTCCAGCGCAGCCGGACAGAGGGACAAGGCAGGCGGGGCACCAAGGCGCGCAGGCACTGAAGTCAGCGCCG